AAAAATCATCCTATTGTCCTTGAAGGTTACTGTGATGCAAATTGGAACACCATATCGGGTGATTCTATGTCCACTATAGGTTATGTTTTTAGGTGGTGGAGTCATAAGCTAGAAATCAAAGAAGCAACAAATTATTGCAAAGTCAACAATGGAAGCTAAATTGATTGTGCTAGCTTCAGCTAGTAAGGAAGCTAGGTGGCTTTGTGATTTGTTGTTTGATATACCTTTGTGGGCTAAACCAGTGCCACCTATGTTAATTCATTGTGACAGCAATGTCGCAATAGGTAGAGTACATAATAAGTACTATAATAGAAAATCCAGATATGTGAGAAGAAAGCACGGTACTATGAGATCATACCTATATAATGGTGCGATCAATATTGATTATGTGAGTTCGACTAACAATCTTGTCGATCCGTTTACAAAAGCTCCAGCTAGAGAAAAGATCTAGAGTACAGTAAGGGGGATTGGACTCAAGCCCAAATCCGATTAAGTTACATATGAGGATACCCAACCTAGGGACTGGAGATCCCAAGAACTAAGTTAATGGGACAAACGAATCAAAGAGTGACTTGGTTTGTGGAACATGTACCAATGAAATTTATATCATTGTTGAAATTTTATATTTATTGTCCATCCCTATGGTGTAAAGTACATGTGATCTCATAACGAAAATTTGGAGGGTAAGATCAATATCTCTTAATGAGTTCTATAGCCCTTTTTGGGTGGGATGTCTTAGTTATGAGAACATCCTTGATAGGCTCACCTATAAGTGTATGGAAGATGGGCCGCTTCCTATGAGAATTTGGGCTAATTCTCTAAAGCACTCAAGAGACTAGGATAAAGCACAAGGCCAAAAATGTGCTGGTTTTTGAAGCTTGGTATTTGACACCTTGAATATCATGTGTGTGATATAGTTCTATGTACCCTCAAGTAGTCATCGTTTAAAGGCTAAGTCCACTTTGACTCTAATACGGGAACATTGAAGCACTAAGTAAATGTTTAAAGGCATTGCCACGTTTACAATGCCTGATATTTTATTTATTGTCCCGTTACTTATATAGTGTATCTTTTATTAAAACAAATGGGGGATTGTTAGAGTATTTTAACTAAAAGGGTGTTTTTTTATGTGTGGAAACTCAATCTCACATCAACCAAATATCTAAAAGTACTTGAAATTATATATATATGCTAGTGTTATCTAACCTTTGAGTTAAAGTGAGACCTTAGTACTCTCACGTACGCAGGGGTGAGACTAGCGAAGGAGAGACAGATTTCTAAAATCTACGAACCACACTACTCCGCCTACTTTTTGCATCTCATTTTTCCAACAATTTGATCAGATAAATTTGAGAAATTTTGCTCAGGAAAAGGATATGAACATGAGTGTTTGGCCCCTAGAACACCTCAACAAAATACTGTAGTTGAAAGAAAGAATAAAATAATAATTGAAATGAGTATAAGTATGTTTAATGAATACAACTGGCCTAAGTACTCTTGAGTCGAAGTCATAAATTACTCATGCTATATTCTAAATAGAGTTTTTACTAAATCAATAATCGAAAAGACATCCTATGATTATGGAGAAATAGACAAGTTTTACTTTAAAATCTTTGGATGCAAGTATTTTGTGTTAAATACCAAATATTATCTAGACAAATTTTATGCAAAATCGGATGAAGCTATAATTCCTACGTTATTCAACTCATAGTTAAAAAATACAAAGTATTCAATAAAAGAACTTTAGTTGTAGAAGAATTCATGCATGTAATGTTTGATGAGTCGGATCTTATTATAGTCAAAAATATAGATGACGATGATGAATTTGAATTGAACTTTACATTTGAAAAGCTCGAGGTAGATGAACCCAATGAAGATGACACTCCAAATGATAATAAATATGAAATCATACCTCAAGAACTTCCTAAGGAATTCAAGGTAGTAAGTGATCACCCAATCGAATAAATAATCAGAGATCCAACTCAAGGGATTAAAACTAAATCAAGTTTTAAAAATATTTGTAATAATCTAGCATTCTTAGTTGAAACTAAACCCAAAAACATAAATGAAACACTAAAAAATGATTCGTGTATTTAGTATTCATGTAAAAAGAATTAAATTAATTTGAAAGAAATAAAGTATTGCATAGTACCTAGACCAACTAATGTAACTATCATCGAAATAAAATTTGTATTTAGAAACAAAGTTGATGAAAATGGAACTATAACAAAGAATAAAACTAGACTAGTAGCTTAAGAATATAATCAAGAAGAAGAAATTGTCTATGATGAGACATTGGCTTCGGTAGTTAGGTTAGAAGCAATAAGAATGTTGTTTGCCAATACTTGTTATAAAGTCTGTAAGTTATATATAATGGATGTCAAAAGTATATTTTTAAATGGATATAATGGAAAATGTATGTATAGAACAACCCGGAAATTTGAAGATGATAAAGATCTTAATCATATTTATAAATTAACCAAAACATTGTATGGATTAAAACGAGTTCCAATAACTTGGTATGAAAGATTTAGTAAATTTCTACTTACAAATAGCTTCTCAATGGAGAAAGTAGATACTACATTATTTTATAAAACCTCAAAATAATGATAGGTCGATAATTCAAATATATGTAGTTGATACTATCTTTAGAGCTACAAATAAACACTTTTATGAGGAATTTGCTTCTTGTATCAGCAGTGAATTTGAAATGAGTTTGATTGGTGAATTAAATTTTTTCTTAAGAAATAAAACAAGGTAAAGAAAGAATTTTCCTTCATTAAACCAAATATTCTAAGTAGCCCCTCAAAAAGAACGGTTTGAAAAGTATGAAATCACTTAGAACACCTTCGAGTTCATCAACTAAGTTAGATAAGTATGATAATGAAAGAAAAAATTGATGTGAAACTCTATAGAAAGAATGATGGTTAGTTTATTTTATTTGACAAAAAATAGATCAGATATCATTTTTTTTATTTGTCAAACAGACAAAATTTCACATTCGGATGTTTATTATGTACATCGGTCACAATAAAAATCAACTACTACAATTTTCAAATAATGATCTAACAAATGACAAAATATTCACATAGAAGTGAAACCTCGAGAATAACACAATAAAAACCCAAAGACCTGGAAACAAGATATTATGCTTTCAAGTTTGGGATATATTGACCACTCGATCTTTTAATTGGTAACATCTGAATCACAAATAATCAACTACGTTAGGACAAATCCGTCACATATCCATATCAAGTACAACTATGTATCATAACCCTACTTCTGTCTAATAAAAAGTGAGGCGTGTTGTCTTATGATTACTTTATTGTTTTTTATTCTATCAATAACTACATATAAAACAAACCAAAATTTATAATTACAAATTAAATTCAACATGGTAGCAATACTTTTTTGTCGATGCGTTAGGCATATAAATACTTAGAGATGCTAATCGGACACTCAAAACACCTCACTACCGATCGACCAACTGAAACTGAGACGATCAATTTGAGAAGAGTCAATTTGTGAAGAACAGCCCTCACCCGATTTTCCCATGTCAAATATCCAAAAAGCTTTGGTGCCTAAAAGTAACAAAAAAAATAAAAAAATAAAAGAGTAGGACTCTCTACATGAGAATCTAGTATTTGAATTCCAAATTTGAATTAAAAAAATGTTACACAATTCAAATGAAACCCTAAAAAATACAACACAAATGTATACCATTTATTGGATGAGTAAATTCCACTAGAAAAATTGATAAAACCTACTTATCAAAAAAATAATATACCTTTGAATTACAATTTTTTACATTTTATTTAGGTTATGTAACATTCCTTTTTAAATTACACTTTACTAAATACATCGAATACAATAAAACTTTATGTCACCTCAATCAAAAAACAAAGATTCTAATATTTTTTTTTTTTTTTGGTTTTATTACTATCCAACCGATTTTTCACAAAACAAAAGCAACATTGGAGTGGACTTACAGGGGTAATTGGACGGAAAATAATATGTAATCCAAATTTACATTACAAATGAAAAACAATTAGATGAATGAATCTCATCACCTTTTTTAAATAGGACTCATTAATCAAATGATCCCCTCAATTGAAATATAAATTTGAGTTGTAAATTTGAATTACATAACATTACTCTTGATAAACACTGCAAAAACCAGACTGGGCTCGAGGATGTTAAATTCCCCTCAATCGGGTACGAACCCCAACATGGATTAAAAACCATGCCGTACAGATTTATCCTCTAATCAGGCCTAATCCCTACGTGAGGGATTGGAACAGACCAGATTGCGCGGTCTAGACCAATCCAAATAGTGCGGGAATGGAACAGACTGGATTGTGCAATCCAAACTAATACAAACCGCAGACCAAAGAGGAGAAAATATTCATTACAACAGTGACATCACGCAACAATGTTATGTAATATCAACAATCAATAATATTAAAACAAATAAATAAATAAACTCCACAAAAATAAATAACTTGTCATGTAAATAACTTACTCCCCACCAATATGCCATGTAATCTCAAGTAAAATTCACCTTTTCCATTTGGAGTCTTTTTATTATTTGGTGATCGTTGCATTTAATATTTACTCAACCAAAGAGGCACTGATGGTTTTACTATGCGGATCATTAAATAATGATTTAAGAGTATTTTTGTCTGCATACAACTATAAAATTTCCCATATATGACACATTTTGACAATTGCATTGAAAACGTAATCAGTGAAGCAAAATAACCCAAGAAGCAACAGTTTGGGCCTTGAAAGAGGAAGGAAAACTAAAAAGAAAGGGGAGGGAAATTGGGGGAGGGGTGTTAAGAAACCAATACACGCACTGCATCTAGTTGCAACATTACTACATCTATCTTTTGTTAGGATTACTAGATCTAATTCCCATTGGAAGTTAGACAGCATGATTCAGGATAATAGAGTAATGATAATTAGTTTCATAGATTAAGGTAGAACTGACAAAAAAGCTAAGGACGTCGCTTCTGATCATCTTCCTCCTCATCCTCGGAATCGCCACTTTCACGGAAACGTGGATTCTTCTCCTGTTGCATCAAAATAATGTTTAAATTATGTGACATGACATTATAAGTCTAAACACTCCGCTTTACCAAGGAAAATGCTCAAGAAAAGAAGCCATTATTCAACATGTCATTCGTTCTTCTCATCCTTCCTGAGAACCAAAAGCCTAAAATTTTCAAACGCATAAACACAAAAAATCCGAGGGGTTTTGTTACTCTGCTATTATATTCGACCAGTTGCCAGCTTTTCTTTCATTAGAAGCTGCTAATGACATGACATTAGCAGAATCATAGGTGCTACAGGAGTTCGGTATCATAAATAGCTACTGAACAGGCATACGGATTCCTCACATTTTCAGTTAAATTGACAGCCAGATTCCACAATACATTAACTAGACAAAAACTTGGAAATGTAAGAAGAGGGTTGTGCTGGTGGAGAAGATGGGGCCGGGAAAGGGACCAAAAATAAATAAATAATGACTAGTTTTCATGGTACACAGCGTCTGCAAATTAATGAGCATTGTGTGACAAATGAGATAGAGTGGGAGAGAAAGGGACAAAGCACTTGAGAGCCTGAGAAAGTATGAGAGTTTGAGACGAATGCAGATAGAAAACTGTTTTCGATCAGTTATATGAGATGTGGCAGTTGGGAATCGGGAGATTTAACGTGAGAGAGTGACGGTCAAGGGAAAAGAGATGTGAGAGAGGGACAAAGGATCATGAGAGGATGGGGAGTTTTACCCGGGAAGTTAATAATAAATTGACCACTAATAACAAATAATAATAGACTACTAATTAACTACTAATAACCAACGGGCCTTTGATCCAATGGTATTCCTTGTCTTATGAAGATTTTGTCTTCTTGAGGTCAATGGTTCAATTCTCTCCTCCCCCTTTCCCCAAAAAAAAAAAAATTAACTACTAGTAAAGGGACAGGACACCAAACCCCTCCTCTCCCTTTATTGATAGCATAGCTGATAAACAAATCAAAATCATCAGAAAAAAGAAATTGACCCCTGAACGTTAGCTACTAAGAACTAACCGGTCTCGAGTCATGATCTGCATTTCTCCGAGATTCCTGGTCAGAACTTCTCTTTGAGATATCGGACCCATGGCGGTCATCTTCTCGATATCGCTTCCGATGAAAATCTGTTTTCTCGAAAAACACACAAAAGACAATAAAATCTAAACTAATAAATCACACAAAATATAGAAATCCCCTTAACCAAGAACCATAACCATACCTCTACCATGCCGATGAGAGCCACTGTGACCATGGCTTCCACCATGTCTCCCATCTGCGCAGCTTAAAGGTCAGCTGTTGCAGTAACAGAGGCATTGATGCAAACTAGCAAGAAGCATCACAATTCAAACAAGTTTCACACCAACCACCCCACACGTCAGTCAAGAGGTTAAGCAGTCAACTTGTATTTTCATAGTTCACATGTTAATCCCCATAAGGGTTTTCAAACAGGTGAACAAATACCTGGTCATTATAAGATTGCATTGACCTTCTGTGAAAAGAATCTATTTCCCAATCTTGTGAAAATAAATCTAAATTCATCTCAATGTATAATATGCAGAGAAACTTACAAGTAGTCACAAATGTGCAATTCAACCAAAATTTATTGAAAGGAAATAGTAATCTTCCTAAGAGAAATATGAGACCTGGCTTAGCTTCGCAAGAAGACTCAAAGATAGACTCTTTTATAGCTCTTGGAAAGGACTAGTCTTAACTTCCTAGCTAGGGCTGACAATAATATGGATCATATTCTGGACCCTAAAGTACACTTTTTTCAAGATTATACTGATCTGCATCATGCAGGTAGCTTGATTGCCTTTTCTTCTAGTCAAAAGTTTTATCTTTTGAATCAACAACAAAATCCTTCTCATTGTATCACCATGGATGTGGAATGCGTAGCTGTGAAATGTGAAACTACACTTGCTTTTATTTCAACTTTAAACAAAAAATTCCAAAGACCCATACACTAATTCCAATATTCCAAAGTTTTTCAGAATATTCTCTTAGCATAAGAGCAATTTACTGAATGACTCTTTAATAAGAAGGGACAACTGATCAATGTCTTAGTAGTGTAAAAACAAGAGAAATGTGCATGAAGTTGCTCCTGAACTTACAGTGAGGAGGCATAACAGGTGGGAAGGACGCCAATGATCCGGTACCATAATCTACTAGCTGCCTTTGCGCTTCCAACTCTCTCTGAACCAATTTTCCATAACCACCCCTGCGTAGGACTAGTCAAGGAAACTCAAGAAGCAGTTCAGTTTTTCCCAACTATTTGAGATCAACAACCAAGGAGATAGAGGAATCACTTGGTAAGACATGAACCGTCCCTATATTACATGCTAAAGTTCAAGTGATAGTATGATATACGCCATGAAGAAAATTGGATGAAAATATGAATTTATATAAGTAAACCATGAAAATAAAAAGAGTCAAAGATTAACCACACAATTTAAATCTAAGAATGAACAAAACAAATAGAAATTTAAAAAGTAGATCTCGAAAGAGCTATTGGTCATCAGAATGATTTAAACCTGACAATGTACTCAAGCATCTCAAATTTAAAAGGAAACAGATCACCAATCCTTGATCTATGAAGACCAGGCTAAAAGTTAAAAAAGAACCAATCACTCTAAACAGCCACCCCAACCAGTAAAGTCATCTGTGCCTATTCTTCCAAAGTTGTCAAGTGGAAATCAGATTAGTAACCTAGTACAAGTTAATGACAAATAAAAATATCACAAAAAGGTCTAGCATTGGATTGGAAAAGAAATGGAACAAAAAACTATAAGATCTAGATGTAATTTACATAAGCATTATAATAAATAAATGAATGAATATAAAAGACGATGCAACCTGCCTAAGGTACTTAAAATGAGAAATGTATTAGTTTTGGTAACAGATAATGTTATAGAATTTTCTTTACTTCACAAATGGCCTTGTTGCCATATAATGGGGCATTGAAAATGGAAGAAAATTGGATACAATTCGCTAGAGCCTCTCTCAATCTTTCTACTCATTCTCACATATCTCTCATATCTTTTCTTTGAGCATCTTCTCTTATTTTTCCTTATCTTCATTATTTGTCTTCCTTACTCTTGTCCATTTATCTCATCTTCTTCCCTTCCTCTTCTTTTGAAAAAATATAAATTAGCATGTGGTATGAAGTAAGATGCACACTAATATAATTAATTAAGTCCTTAATTCCCTATATTAATTTCAAACCCCCTATGCCCCTGACCCGGCCCAACCCACAGCAGGGGGAAGGGGACAATAGTTCCCATGCGCCCCAATGTAATATAGACCCAGATAAGGCAATTCAAGGTTTACTCAGATATTACATCCTTCTACTGTAGACAAATGTAGTATAACATAGGCAAAGTGCAAGAAAAAGAGGTGCTGGCAAGCACCAATGAAATCCAATTGCATAGAAAACACCAACCATCACCTAAAGATGACTGCTCTTTGGTGACGGGATAGGATATAAGGTACTGCTAAGTGCCAAACAAAAAACAGAAGAACATGAAATTGTTAGTACTCAAGATGGTTGGGCCATACATAAAGATCATGGATGGTTCAAAACACTGGGTCGATACCAATACGAACCAACCGAGTCGTATTCGACTTGACACTTTTTGTTCCAACATCGATACATGTTTCTTGCAAACCATGAGTCCCACTCAGTCTGTGGTTGACTGGGAGACGTAACAAACAATTCGGTCGACTCATCGTTCCACGACACCGGGATACGGTTTCGCAATGCCGTAGTAAGGTTGCCTCTCTCCTTATGCCCAACTTCTTATATCCTTCCTTTTGTGAGTATCACCTGATACCATTCCACACCGCGACCGTTAAGTCTCAATACCATTCAAGTCGATAGTCAACACTACAACCTTACTTTTGTAAATGAAATTGGCAATAGAACCAACCGAGATGTCTTATGAATTGGTAAAGTTAATAAATGAACTTGAAAGAAAAAATATACATTTAATTCAAGAGTAACAATCTAGAATTATTGGACGGAAAGTTTTGTGATATGGCAATCTCGAAACTCTGGAACAAACAATAACAGCACCATCACTACACTTCAATCACAAAGAACTTGCTTGATTACTTGACCTATAAATAGTAGAACTTATGGCACGCAAGTTATATAGATATATGCTTTCAAATCAGCACAATCTGGTTTTCTTCTGCTCTTGCAAGCTAAAATTATCTACCTGGTTTACCCAATTGCAAGCTATCTAAAACATGAAACATAAAACAAAACAGCCGCACTACGGACAAAAGGGTAGCTGAATCCCAAAGTAAGCATACAAAAAATTGTGCTTCATTAAAATAATGAATAAAAAACAATGCACATGAAACACATCAGATTGGATGAAGAAAACAAATGTACATAATCGAAGTAAAACTTGAAAGGATATCTGGATCGTAGTCCGTACGATACTCATCTCGTACCTGAAAAAGAAGATATGAATCAGATAAAGTTCCAGGGCAAACCTATAGCAATAAATGGCATGCACAACACCTGTCCACCACTTCGACCACGTCCCCATTGCCTGCCTTCTTGAAATCCCCAATCAAAATCTACTCGAATAGGGCGATCATCAAGAATTGTCCCGCTTATATACTTGACTGAATCTTCGGCATCCTCTCTAGAGTAGAACCTGATAGGCAGAGAGTTTGAAACTTATCAAAGGTTTGATTACTACTGTCATTCTCAATGATTTTGCTGAAAGAGGAAGATTATGATTATCGAATTGCTGCAGAAAACAGTGGCATCCATGACTCTTAAGAATGAAGAAAACAAATTTAAACAATCCGAAGGAATGAAATTTACTGCAAATGTAAATGCAGCCAACCACAAACTCAAGCAACATGCCAATCTATGACATAAATTTCTAAGAGACTCAAATTTCCTCAAAGAATCCGACAAAACAGCTAATGTACGAACTTGTTGAACAAGCAGCTACAGGCTAAAATGAGATTGGCAGCTGAGGTTTTCACTGCATATAAAAAGGCCTGTATTGCCCCGTTATTCCGGATAGCATTTTACACCTAAATTCTTTGATTTAACCACAGTGGCAATAGCTAGAAACCACCCTTAGTTCATCATGCGTACAAACAGAGAAAGTACGCCAAAATATCAAAATCAAAAGAAAATCAAAGTTGAAACCAAAATCTTAATGAGTGGCAAAATAGACAGGCCAGAAGAGATGGTATAAATCAAACAGAGAAAATCCAATTCCATCCACACATCATAAACTTAGGAAAAGATATACTTACTCTTGGTTTGACGAAGAACCAACATTCAATATTTTTAAGATAGCCATGCAAGAATATCTTGTAAATGGTCCATCACCTTGGTTAAAGCAATCAAAGAAAAAAACTAAGAGCCATAGGACAGTGACTGAAACTGAAGATTAGGGTTTAAGAATTTATTTTAGCATTATTTTCTTGAGTAGGACTTATTGGTTTTGTTTTATTGATTTAGGAGTTCAATATTATTCTAATGTTTTATTTTTGGGAAGTCTTAACTAGGCTATTTAGGGTTACTTATAAAGAGGCCTTATGGGTAATGGGTTAAAAAGAAGACAAAATTACTGAACAAATATTAAATTGCTTTAAAAATGTATCAATCTTTTTTACTTTGATTCTAATTGATATTTTTTTCCTCATGAATTTTGCTCCATGCATGCAGCGCAATCCATTCTTCTCCTTCTTAGCCTACATTAACCTCTTTGTACGGTAAAGTTAGAACAAACATCATATCAAGAAAACACTCAAGAAAATCTAAGATCACCAAGAACAGTATTAGAACTAGAAGTAATAATGAAAAAAAAAAATTAAGGGGAGATGAACAAATAAAATCTATTCTTCTATTAGGTGGACAAATAAATATACAGATGGTGATAAAATGTAACTCCGCTTGTGTTGAGTTTTAGTGCCTATCTTTTTCACAACTAATCTCAAGCACATATAAAGGAGAAGGGTTGCATTAGCTAGTTGACAACCAGTGTAAAATTTTGTCAGATCCAATATGAACATGAATCCAAATAATATACGCATAAATACTAGGGCATTCTCCTTAAGCAATGTGTTGCACTCGTACTCCTATATTTCAAAAAATGGACAAGGGCCACCACATTATAGTCGCCCAAATGCGGTGGAAAATATGCAAGGGTTCCCGCGTCACTTTAGACAAACGCGATAAAAAAAGTTAGTTCAAATACTAAGCTTAGGTTAGCAACTTAGAATATAGGAAAACTTAGTCACTTACACGTAAAGGAACAGAGTCAGTTGAAACTATGATTAGGAGAAAAGTTAACATAGCATGCTTACAAGAAATCAAATAGGTAGGAGAGAATTAGAAAACACAGAGTAAAAACGTTACTATACTAGAAAAAATAAATATAGAAATGGAGTTGAAATAATAGCAGATTGTTAAAAATATTAGTATGTGTAAACTGTTAATAGTTAGAGGGTGTATGTGTAATTCATATTATTGTGAGTTAACTATAAATACAAGTGATGTATGAGAGTTAGGTTAAGTTTTTAACCTCTCTCTTTCTCTCTAATATTGTATTATGTTAATTCTCTCAACTTAACATGGTATCAGAGCAAGGTTATTCCAAATACAAATATTAACCCAAACTAGTGTTGTTGTTGTCAGTGTAGTGTTGCTGTCATTGGTGTAGTCGACGTTGGTGATGTCGACTTGGTGGTGTCTGGGTTTTGCTTCGTGGTGATGCAGAGTTTTGCTTCGTGGTGGTGCAGTCGACTGGTGAAGTTTATCCTTTTTTTTTTCCTTCGTGGTGGTGCAGTCAACCTTGGTGGAGTCTGATTTTTGCCTCGTGGTGGTGTGTGACTAACGTTCGCAGTGGTCTGCGGTGGTGTTTGGTGTTGTGGTGGTGTTCTCTTGGCGCAATCAACAGGGAAGGAATAGGGTTTGGTAGAAACCCTAATTAGTGAAGGAGACGGCTTAGTTTAAGTGAGTCAGTTTACGAGTTTGGGTAAAGGATCCAAGTCCACGAGCATAACTATTCTTAAAACCAGATCCAGACCCTGATCCAAGACCAGACCGGTCCAAACTAGACTAGACCAGTCCGAATCAGTCTTCCAGCAGCCTCTTTTTCTCTAGTTCAGCATTA